GACCAGGAGCATTTACAAAGTTTAAACATTACAAACCCGCTAACTTCAGTGGATTCTCATCAGACATGTTAGAATACCCCTCCTAAAGGGGGGACGTCATTAATATTGGACAAGCTTAAGGTATAATTTTCTGAGTACAATGCCACAAAGCCCATTCTAAAGGAAAAGATGGATTATGTAAGAGAATCTTTAGATATGGAAGAAAGTGTTTATTGCTTTTCTGTGTAGAATGTCAGAATATCCCTCTTAAGGAGGGGGATGATTAATGAGGGACAAGCCTGAGATATACTTCTTCTGTGTAGAATGTCCTAATATTCCTTCTAAAGGGGGATATGTGATTAATGTGGGACAAGCCTTAGGCATTTTTAAAAGATACTGTTTTCCTGAATTTTCAATTACAGGAACCTGTGCAGTAAATTTTAAAATTAAAAATAGGATAAGTTTATAAGAAACAAATAAACATTGATATTACATATAATATATAATTTAATAAACTAAAATCATACTTTAAAACAAAAATTGCCACTACCATAAATTTCATGCATTGACAAATACACCTCAAAATTGTTTAATACAGCATTCTTCTACAGTATACCAAAGTAACATATACGCATAGTATTTTTCATTTCCAATAAAATTCATTAAGCAAGCTGTGTCACTTTATTTTTTTTATTTTTGTAGATTTTACAAGCAAAATGTTTACAAATAAGATTAAGGTCTTGTGTTTGTTTCAACTGAGATTCCTATACAGATTGTCTACAGCAGCTCCAAGTGGTTTCCAGTCCCTCAAAAACATTTCCAACAGTTCCAGTAAACTGGCTCTACATCTTGTTCCAAGATCTTTTGTTATGAGTATTTTTCTTAACTTCAGCAATAGGCTCTCCACTTCATCTTTTGCAAGTTCCTGAAGCTCCGGTCCATTTTTCTTAAACTGAAAAAGTGTTGTAATATCAAAACACTAAAACTTCTTTATGAAAAAACATAAAATAGGTCTTAACCATATAGTTCTGACTTTAAAAAGTAACAACAATGAATAAAAAGTTAATTCATTCAGAACAGTTTCTTTTGAGGCCCTCACTCTTTAGTAGATTGTGTGTCAATCACCAGCTAATTTTAACTTCCTACAGAAGAGCCTTTCATATGAATAGGTTAAATAGTTGGGATAGCAATTTACATCTCCATGAATAGTGTAAAAAGGTAATTTTTATTACTGATTAATTTATTAGCTTTGCTGTAGGTGTATTGCAAACACCAATTCTTCAAATTATTCCTAATCCTTTGTTGACTTTACAATGAATATTTAGTTTTTGTCTGTGAGAGGAAGTACCATATTTCATTACAGAGGCAAATTTCAGGACTCTGTGAACTAAAACATTCAGTACAAATGAAATAGAAAAATAGTTATTAAATATATCTTACAACTACATAAAAAACTAATGCCAATGAAAAAAAAAGATTGTAATCAAGGAAAAACTTGGAGAATCAGCACATGATGTGAAATATTATATTCTTATTTTTTAGTAATTCAGCAGTATATTAATTGAATATTTTGTTCATACAGCACCCTTAACCTGTATAAAACCTCTAGAGAACAGAAAATAATAATCATTATGTTAAGTCAATAGCCAGTTTATTCAAAATAAGTAAGAAGAAACTCGGGCATAACTGATAAGTTGATAAGAATTACAGCAACTGAATTTTATGTCTCTAAGGGCATATCAGAGAGAATCATCATCCTATTACATATATTGTAAAGGAAAATCTGGATTTTTGATAATAGAGGTACTCACAATCTAGAGTACAAGCAGATAATACTACCAACAGATAATATTTTCCTTTCTGTTAACTCATTCTATTTACCTCCTAACTATGGGCTCAATGGATTACACAAACCTTGTAATCCCAAAGTAATCATCAGTTTCCATACTATTAATATGTATTGTATATCTTCACAAAATTTAGCAAGTTTTCAGTAGACGTTACAAGTCTTTTGTGCAAAAAAATTAATTTTTTAATTAAGTATTTTTACTACAAATTTGTCGATGAATATATGAAGTCAAAGTGTTGACTGCTCCAAGTGCAAAGTGATTTTCATGTTAAGAATTAAAATATTTTTCTTCATCTGAAAAGTGTCAAATTTCATTTGTGTAATCTCTAAAACCTCTTAAATAAATATCAAGTGTTTTTTTTTCATTAAAACTTAATATTTTATCTGTTATTTTCACTACCCTAATTCTATACACATTCCGTCAATTTGATCAACTTTATAACCACCATAAAAATACAAAATCTAAATTATCCTTTTTTCTTTCTAGAATGACTGCAACTTGGAACAGGAAGCTACAATTGTTTATCCTAAATAGCTTAAAGCTTGTAACAATTCTGTATTTCTTAGAGGGATAGTAAATCAATTAACAAATGGAGAGGACCTAGAGAACAAATGCCACAGTTCTAATATTAGGGAAGATTGAGGATATTTTTTAATATTTACTTATAAAATTAATAAGTTAAACTTATATAATATTAAACTTTGATTTATTAACTATACTTTGATGCCAAGTTTATTCATATACAATAATATGTAAAGTACTTTAATTAAATTTTTAATATAACTCTCACCAAATCATGTACACTTTAATATACTTGTAATAAGAGGGTTAATGCTTTTATCTATTTTCATCTTGCTGAAAGACAAACAATATAATTCAAAATATTTCTCGGTCAATTAACAGTAATATTATTTCAAAAACCTTCATATAAAAGAAACCTAGCTTCATGTATGTGTATTCCACATACAATTTGTCTTGAAAAATAATCCCATAAGTAAATGTACATTTTAGTTAAAAAAACATCATCATCAATGCCTATATATAGGAAAATATGGAAAATCAAGGTTTTTATTGTGAATCTATGCACTCTACTACACCTTTATAGTTGAAAAAAGTGAATGAAATATTGTACTTTTGAGACACCTTCTTGAGTGTGATTGTACCCTCTAGCTCCTTTGAAGTAATAGATTTGCTAAATACTAACATTATTGTTCTTTCAGCAGAAAACTAAATAATGGCTGTTTGCACTAAATATTCTTCAAATGAATAATAATTGACATAAAATTAGTTCATGTTGGCAACAAGATCACAAGGAGAAGTTAGCAGCTTCAACGTAAATCATTATTAAATCAATTAGGTAATTTCATTTGGTTGTGTGAATTTGGTTGGTCAATAATGATGAAAATATACAAATGATGCATCTTATTGTGATATTAGTGTACATAATGTCTTTTTGTCATTAAATGGAATGGGATGGATACCAAAAAAATGAGTTTAGCAATGTGAGGTCGTAATACTATTATTGTACACTCTTCTAATTTTAAAAAATCCCTAAGTGACCAGATACAAAAATGTGGTGTTTAAATATAATAGGACTAATACTAATGTCTTAGAGCAAGTACAATTAATTAAAATCTGAGGTAAATTTATGATAATAAAAATGTTAATTTCATTGCCTGTTTAATATATATTTGGTTCTTTAAAATAATGACTGTATTGTTTTTACTATATTATACATTACACAGGAGCAAAATCCATATACTAGTAAAAGCCCTTTTTGTTCACAGTTTCATCCCTGGTTAAACATAATTAATTTATGTTCATGGTGATTAATCAATTAACACATTCTACTACTTGCCCTGCTCTACATTTTATAGTAGCACATTATAACAGTACAAGATTAAGTCCCTTAATCCGTGTGGTAAACACTATCGTAAGGTTATAAAAATATTCAATCATACCATAAATATTTTATAGATATACACTTTTTTTATTTTTGATATTGTGCACTTTCAGTGATAGCCCTAGCCTACAACTCCATCCTCTCAATAGTATTATTGCAAAGAATGAATTTTGCAAAGGAAAATACATTTGAATTTATGACTTGTGTACTTTTGTTTCTGAGACTATAAATACATTATTTTCTTATAACAACTTTACTATTTTTAAATTACAACATTTCTTAAATAAACTAATTACACAGTGATACTAAATGTGACTATGAAGTTGATAAATCATTATTCTTATCATACAGAATACACTGAAAGTCTGATTCCTTGGGACAAAATGAGGTGCATGACAATGATCATGCGTCTTAAAAATCAAGTACTGTCACACCTTCAGGATGTGTATCTTTATAGTTTCCAATGCTTAGGAAGTGCTATGCACAAATACAACAACTCTCCAACAGTATGGGGTTAAAAATATTTTACATTTTTGTTTTGTTATATTTGCTGAAGTCAGTTGTTCTTTTTGTCAGCAAATTATTCTATCACACACCTGTATTTTATGATTCACTGAATGTGATGTGACAACAGATGAACTTGTAGACCAGTGGATCCCAAATGCCAGTTCACAAAATGTTTGATAAAAAAGTGGGTTTTGAAATATAGCTACTGAAGTATATTGCTTTACAATTTAATTTAAAATTACTTTTAAAAGTTGGTATGTACAACACAATCCATGAAATTTTGGGATCAGAGGTAGCTGGTCACAGTTGGAAAAATGTTGGGAATTGCTACTACAGACAACAGTGAAAAGGATTCCACACTGAGAAGCTAGATAGACAATCATGGCCCAGGAAGATGTGCATCTAAAAGTGCAGATTGTCATGGAAAAATTCACCATTCTTTCCATTGTTCTGTAAAATCTGTCAAAAAGTCCAAAAATTAAAACAAATTAATTTTTTTCTGTTGAACAACTGACTTCAGAGTTTGAATTCACCACTTCATTGTGAGCTATGTTCAGTTACTCTTTCATTAGGAATCAAGGAATATAAGCTTAGATCTAGACATAACTTGTAGCTTCAAGCCATAGTTGAAATAGGCCCTATCAGAAAAACATTCATAATTATGGATGGTATGGCTCTACCAATAGCCACTGAGATAGAATCACATAGTACAATCTTTGTAGTTCTGGCTATAAATTTCAACAAGTAGTCAGAATTATATTTCCAGTATAATGTAATTTTTTTATGAACATTTTATGTTTTAGCTTTATACATCAAGAAGGTAAATTATATCCAAGGGTATTTGAATGTTCATATTTTTTGCAGAATACTGTATCTGTTAAGTATTCTGAGTATAATCATTGAAATTGCTCACACAATGAACCAAACTCAACCTTCAAATGTACATTCATTTTGATGAAGCAACTTTAATATTTTCCTTCAGAGCTACACTGCCAAAGGCTCAGTTAAATTGCACAAAATTTTATAATTACTCTTGTTACTATTTTGGAGTATGTCTTATGGAAGAAATGTGCATAAATATCTATGGTGATAAAATCTACAGTTAAGGTATCTCTAACTTTTACTTGACAATATGTTTTATTTTTTATAAATAACCTTAATTTTTGGAATAAATCTGACCTCCTCAAAATATGTTTATGATCTCTCTTTAAATAACTTTCCTGCAAACATACATTAAGCTTTTCTGCATGATCAGAAACATATTAACAGTAAAGAGAATTTCTCTGGGTAAGCTATTACACACAACAGAACATCTGTTACTGAATCATATTTAAGTATACTGTTTATTACTGCCTGCACTTAATTAAAACATGTTATCTTTATATTTCTATAATTTCACTGTTTAAGAGCAACAAATCTTTTAATAATGTGCATATTGTAATAACCTATGATGCAGGATTGGGTTTGTACTCTGTATCTCACATGCCTACCACATGGTGTCGAACTCCCCTATATATGCACAGCATTCTTGGAAATTATTTTCTTTTTCAGTATAAGAACTAATGAACATTTCTATGAAATTTATTAAGGTAGTAAAAAATAAACAAACAAATGCTAACACAAACAACAACAAAAACATTCAACAACACTTTCAAGTCACTGGTATATAATTTTACACCACACTACCAGTGCCTCTTCCAGATTATAGGCCTAATTCTCACTCATATTTGTGAACTAAGATTTAAACTATCTTACATCAACTTGAGAAGCCTTTTATTTTGCAGCCTATATTATAATCATATGTTACAAAAACTACAGCCTACCTGCTCAATAAATACTACAAGACCTGTCTCTGTTTGATAATCTAGTATTTCCTTAAGATATTCTAACACAGGAACAGACAATATTTTCAAAGGTGATCCATCTTTTAGCCGAACATTGCAGAAAACTTCACACAGAAAAGTTACATTACATAAAAATTTTTCTGGATCTTCCTTCTGTATACTTTTATAATCTGAAAGAACAAGAACAACTAAATCCAAACATCCAGAAGATAGTCAACTCCAAATAACAATTGCTATTTCCTTATTAGTTACTTAATGGATTAACACAAAAATCAAAGTAAATAATTAAAAAGGGGGTTTAAGGTTGATTGCTTTTTATGACTACAATTGTAAGAATTTTTCAATTTGTAAAATTGCTATTATAAACCTTCTATAATTATGAGCAATATGGACTAATAAAGAAAACAACAAGCAATAAAATTTACACAAATTTAATAAATTCTATTTAACAGTTAATTTTTTTCTTACTACAAGAAGAAAATAATCTGGCAAATGAGCACATTTTCTTTCTTTTTCACTAAGGAAATAACTCAAAATTGAAACTGTTCACACTGATATTAACTAAAATTCAATGATTTACAACATGTGTTTCTAAGAATAATTATATTAGTGGAAAATACAACTGAATCATGATAAGGATTTGAAATGAAATATTTAAAGTAGGTATTGTTACTAGGAACATATATATATATCTTAAAGATAAAGTTCAATATAAAAAATTATAAACAATGTTGCATTAATTGAAATGAAAGCTTTTATTCACTGCTTTTATTTTGGTACAGCTATAAAGTGGTGTTTACTTGGACAAGAAAGTTTAATTGAATGGCTTTCTTTTGTTTGGTCTTCTTTACAGACAAAATTATGTCTTGTTAAGCTCAGCATTTTTCTTAAACGTAATAAAAGATGACAAATTCAATTACATAAACTAGTTTATCAAATGTGTAATACACTGTAACTTAAACAGACATAACACATTCTGATTTTATGAGAATCCTACAACTGAGTAGTTTAATATTATCGTTTTTTATTCTGGTGGGAAAAATATGCAATTAAGCTTCCAAGTATGATGTTAAACTTAAAATCTGGTTAACAAAAAGAAAATTTTGCTTTCAAGTTTAGTTCCTTTGATAAAATAAAAACCTGATGTAAGAAACTGATGCTATTAAAAAATGATAATAATACTTTGGAACAAAATGAATAAGTATCTCTTTATCAAGAAAATATGAAGGTTATTAAAACATAAAGTGAAAGTAGCTTGGTGAGTACAAAAATATATAAACTGATAGCACTAAAGCAATGACTTAGTGGATAAACAAAACTGAAATTATAAGCAAGAATGATTAAACGAAAATCATGCTAATGTATTGTTACCCTTCTCAATTTGACATAAGCAGAGAAAAAAGCAAATACAAATAAAGTACTTGCAAAGTTATAATCTGTATAAGTTCCATTTCCAATATAATCATAAATATTCACACACGTTTATTATAAAAACTCAACATACTTCCTCATCAAATAATTAAAATTTTTCAAAACTTAGTATTGAAAGCCTAATGTGTTTAAGCATACCAACCTTGAAAATCTTTTTGTAATTTTTCTAGAAGCAAGTTTCTAAATTTAGCATCACCAGCTTCAAAACAACTTAAATGACCACAAACAACTGCTATAATTTCAGATGTACTTCTTTGCTTCTGTGAAAAATGATGAAGGAATGCTACTACTTTACTGAGGGATTTTTCATTTTTGATTAGGGTTTTAATGCCATCAATCACAGTTAAAACCAATCCTTCATCAATAATTAGATCTTTCTCTGTTGACAGACGAAGTTTATCCAGATTAGAAGATATATCGGCTAAATCTGGATCTTCACAATTTGTCTGTAAACATAAAGGTTCTTTAGTAAAATATACTTGAAATAAGCTGTTAAAGATATATTAAGATATAAAATCAAAATATTATACTAAAGTCATATATGCATATTTTAACATTAGTTATACATATATTAGATGAAAAGCAAATATAATATTCTATATTTTGATAACATTACTTACCATTAGTTTTACGACACATATTCAAAACATATTAAATTGGCATATACCATAATATCAAAAATTATTTTTGGTTCTCCTACATCTTTGTTCGCTGAAATTGAAAATTATGTATCAAAGTGCAAAATTAAAATCACATAATACATGGGATGAAGTTGTTTTTTTCAGTTACAGAATATTTACTCAAACTGTTTGGCACACTCAAAAAAAAGTTTACACTTACATCATACATGAGTTCACAATATATTTCAAGGTTTACAGAATTCTTACCATAAAAACATTCTAAACATGCTTTTATGTATGTAAGCAAGATATTTTCTAAGAGAACAATCCTTCACAAATAGATGATTAACTAGATATAATTATGAGCAGGTCTGATTAATTAAAATTGCTATTAAATCAACTGATGTCAAGAAAATAACAAAATAATCAAAATTATCATTACCAGTTATTATTGTTTTTAATTATTACAACTATCCAAGTAATCCACACATTGTTATTATTTTCGAATTTTTAAATTTAAAATTTTTTAATATTACAGTTCATGAAAGCAATCAAATAATCATAATTAGTTTTCCAATTATTATTTTCTAAAATCAGTAAACATGTTGAAACTAAAGAAATAATTCATTGTATTCTACCCTTTACTAGCAAGCATGCAACAGAATTAAAGTAAATGATTAAAGTGATTTTGAATAAAAAAATTATCCACAAATTAATTTTAGAATTGTTATCAAACTGATATGTTCTATATGTTATTAGTTCAAATTTAAAAACAGGATCCCTAAAATGCATCACTCTTACATCATCTACAAACTTACATGTCCAAGGTGAGGACATGGCTATGTGGGCTCTACAATTCATTCTTTGAGCTAAAGAATTAGAGCACAAGCAAAATACACTATATAATCAGTCAGCCAGTCTTCATCACTGTCTGCAAGACTGTGACATTAGAATTGCAACCAATGATGTCAGCATCTTGGGAAGTATGGCCAATTAAAAAATGTTAAGCACAAAAGAAAGCTTATGAATACATAAGGTGCAACCCAAGTTGAATGTAAACCAAAGAGCATCATCATTGCTTCTGAAATTATGCAGATTTATTGCACTTGTTGCCTATTTAAATATAATTGACCATTGAGTATATTTTTAGCTGCAGCATAGCAGCTCTGAGTTTTTTTTTTTAAGTACAAACTTTTAGCTCATATATGGAATATAATATCACTGTAAAAGAAAATATATATGTGTGATATGTTTTTGTTCTGTTGTGTTAAAGAAAATGACTGATATGGCTGTATGCCACTGTCCATAATTTTGAACTGCTGAACAGAAGGTAGGCAACTAGCCAGCATCATCTGCCACCAACGTTTTGGCTACTCATTTCAAATGAATAGAATTATCTGTCACATTGTAACATCTTCAAGCAGGTATGGGCCAGTGGTTAACTCATGAATGTTATAATTTTCCTACACTGAAAATGTATTTCCAATAGGTACTTACCTCCTCTCACATAATTAGCTATTCTCGTTCAGTGCTGCTTTCTATATGCAAAAAAAAATGCATGCCACAAGCCTTCTATCATCTCTCCATTGAAATTGACTGATTACAATGAGTCTCGCAAATCATCATGAGTCAACTCTTCACCAATAAGAGTGCAACATACTCTCATGATGCATGTGGCTCCCTCTAATCAAATCTACTAAACTATCACCACCCTACTCTCAACTGAATGGTTTTATAATCATTTCTGTATTTTGTATATATTTCATGAACTTATTCAAGAGGATGCCTCCACAGTCCACCACCCCAGTGCCTTGGAACTGGAAAGTGGTAAGGACTCTCAAACTCCACTAGAAGAGGTAAAACACGGCAGAGAGTCTGGTGGAAAAACAACACCTGAGAGGGTCCAATGGATGACCACGAAACCCTATTTTTAAAAGCAGACCATATCAATTTATTCAATACAAGGCATGGAAGGGATGGGCAGCTATCCCCTTCTGCTTTAACCATGTATTCCACGGGTGGGTACGGTCCAGGATGGGCAAACTTATGAACCAATTCTATCACGAGAATAAACCTACAAGTGTTCATGCACAGATTAGACACAACATTCCAATGTCACAGATACATGATTGAAAACATATCACTAAAGAAAATACAGAAATCCTAAAAAAGAAAGAGGGGAGCAAAAGTAACTGGGACATGGTCGCATCACGACCCAGAAAATTCGAACCACAGTGAAACTACATGTGTACAACAAGAGCCAAAGATGACAAACAAGCTAACATGGAGGTAATAAGGAACCATAGTAAAAAGGGGAATTGTATAACATAATATACCTGAGAAATCATGTAGAAAAATGCCATATTAGGCCTAACTGATTTTGCAAGAGGGGTAGGGGAAAACACAACAAAATCCAGTGGTGTAAAAAGGCTATCAAATCTTCATTGGCCCGAACAAGTTTGGTTTGTTCAGGAGGATTAGTGGTTTACTCATATAACGATCAATCTGATGATAGATAGTAGCAGAGAAATCCAATGACTAGAGATATAACACCCAAAGTGGGAACATGAACCTCAGAATTCATTGTAGAAATATGTAAATCAAACAGTGTTTGATCTAAAATATGGGAGTGTGAGAAAAAAAAAAGACTGGGAAATTAAGTTAAAATTAAAAGATTTCTTCAATATAAATAAAAAAAATAATAATGAAGAAATCCCACTTCAGCAATTAAACTATTAAAATAGCACTAAAAAAAGTCTGAACATGAGTACTGCCAAATAAGAAGTGATAGTTCGGTAGAATTGAATAGAGGAAGCCATATGCATCATGAAAGTATGTTGCACTCCTATTGGTGGAGGGTTGACACATGATGATTTGTATGCGAGACACACTGGAAACAGTCAATTCCAATGTAGGGGAGATAGAAGGCTTGTGGCATGCATTAAAAATTTGTTTGCATATAGAGAGCAGCATTGAATGAGAATAGCTATTTATGTGAGTGGAGTTAAAGTACCATATTGGAATTAGGGTTCTGGATTCAATACTCTTTGCTTCCAAACATGTTTCCCCTTTCAGCCATACAAAAGTTACAATGTTACAGTTAATCACACTATTCATTGGCAAAAGAGTAGCCCAAGAGTTGCAAGTAGTTGCTGCCAGCTTGTTGTCTTACAGATGATCAGAAGTTCAAAATTAGGGACAGTGGTAGATAACCTTAGTTATTTTGGCATAACTCAAAAACAGTATAATATCTCCACAGCTCATAGATCGAGTATGTATGGTGGTGACAGGAATTAAACCCATTACCTTTGGGTCACAAGGCAACCACCATAATTTTTGGGCTATGCCAACCTGAAGTTGAACAAAATTGCATGAAAAAATAATAATTAGAATTCATAATGGCAATATTTCAATTTCCTGGATACTTGGAGTAATGAAAAAAAGTAACCACAAAGAAAAATAATTTTGATTATTTATATATTTCATGAGTTGTGAAATTAATCAAATAAGCTTAACAAACCTGAATTAATCAAAAATAATATGAAATCATAGTGGTAACATTTTGATTATTTGGAAAGTTGGAATAATCAGAAACACTAATTTCAATAATTTTTGTGGAATTAGTTGATTTAATTGTAAGTTCAATCAGTCAATAATTTTATACAATACAAATTGATGATCACAGATAATTGATTATGTCAAATGATTTAACTGTGTAACAATAAAGACCAAAATGTTTTGAAAACCTAGTGTTTACATGATGCTTAAAACTGTTGTTTCTCAGTATGTTCACTAAACCTCAATTTGAAAACTGTGTTCAGTTTCTGTTATCCTTGTTGAAGAAAAATGTTGAGTCATTGGTGAGTGTTCATACAGGGGCTATGTAGATGATTCTAGGTTTGGAGGAGTTATTATTGTAGAAATAGGTTTAAATCTCTTTACATGTTTTTTCCTGGAGGATAAGATCTTTGGAGAACATGATTAATCTTTGTAAATTGTTAGAGATTTGGAATTCATAACAATCCAGATTATGCTTTGATAAAAACCATAGTGGCAGTAAGATTATAGGATATAAGTTTAAGATATTTGTTTGTTTGTTTTGAATTTCGCGCAAAGCTACACAAGGGCTATCTGCGCAAGCCATCCCTAATTTAGCAGTGTAAGAGTAGAGGGAAGGCAGCTAGTCATCACCACCCACTGCCAACTCTTGGGCTACTCTTTTACCAACAAATAGTGGGATTGACCGTCACATTATAACGCCCCCACGGCTGAAAGGGTGAGCATGTTTGGTGGGACAGGGATTCGAACCCGCGATCCTCAGATTGCAAGTCGAGCGCCTTATCCACCTGGCCATGCTGGGCCGAGTTTAAGATATTAAAAAATCAAATATGGCTCTATTCAAGACATTCTTACTTCTCTAAAAGGGTGGTTAGCCTATAAAACAGCTAGCCTTCACACATGTTAAAACCTGCAGCATTGAAGGAAGTTAAGAAATTGGATTAGATTTTTAGAAATGGGATTGGATAATAGCATGTAGGTTTTAACATGTAACAGAAAATGGAACAGTCTATATGGGCCAAACAGCCCTTTATTATCTATTGGAAATCAGATTTCCTAGTACATGTAACACATTTTCCATCACAGACTTTTTTGATTGTATATACACAATGTTTATATTTATAAACTAACAGAAGTAAGATGTAATTAAATGGACAGCATTTAGGTAAAATGATAACGAATATTACATCTCTACAGCACCCTGGAATTAGCTTACTGGCATCTACAATCAGCCATCAGTGACAATTAAGTAGGGGAAAGTAAAACCTAATGGTTTTTTTGCAAGTATCTGAGTGATACAGAAACTGTATAGTACTGGCAAACTTGTTTCATCCTTTATGACTTAGCTTGATGTATCAAATATATGCATGTGCATGTACCTAAACTATAATTCTTTTGTTGTTCTGTGTGTGTAAAATGTATTGGTCAGGTATAATAGTCCTATACAACTGCTCTGGCAAAATTCCAACCACTTGTGTGTAGCATTTTTTTATTTTTCTAGTGTTTCTGTGACTATACAATTCACCACCATCATAGATGAATAGATAGGAATAAAAATATAAAAAAGACAACCATAACTGACTGTCAGCAGTTAAAATATTAAATCACTTGTGACTGAGGAGAGAGAGCATAAGGCAAAAGAGAGAGAGAAAAAAAAGGATAATTGAGAATAGGAACAGTTGAGGATGAATGAAAACAAGACGAGCCAAATACCATGAAGCAATGTAGGAAATGTCTTAATAAAATATTAACAATATTCCACACCCTGAGCATTATGGGAAATACTGGAATTGACCATGTTGATATCAATAGCCTGATGGCAAGTTTAAATGTGATTAAGTAATTTAAAATATTAAATATAATTAATTAGTTACCTCAGTTATTTATAATATTAGATAGATTTAATATATGACACTGAATTTCTTAAATACTACTAATTACATTAGTCAAATGAGATAGGCATAGTACATTGAGCTTTACATGCAACGGTTCTGCAAATTCCAACCACTTGTGTGTAGCATTTTTTTATTGTTCTAGTGTTTTTGTGACTATACAATTCACCACCATCATAGATGAATAGATAGGAATAAAAATATAAAAAAGACAACCATAACTGACTGCCAGTAGTTAAAATATTAAATCACTTGTGACTGAGGAGAGAGAGCATAATGCAAAAGAGAGAGAGAAAAAAAAGGATAATTGAGAATAGGAACAGTTGAGGATGAATGAAAACAAGACGAGCCAAATACCATGAAGCAATGTAGGAAATGTCTTAATAAAATATTAACAATATTCCACACCCTGAGCATTATGGGAAATACTGGAATTGACCATGTTGATATTAATAGCCTGATGGCAAGTTTAAATGTGATTAAGTAATTTAAAATATTAAATATAATTAATTAGTTACCTCAGTTATTTATAATATTAGATAGATTTAATATATGACACTGAATTTCTTAAATACTACTAATTACATTAGTCAAATGAGATAGGCATAGTACATTGAGCTTTACATGCAACAGTTCTGCTTTGGTGCTTTGTAATATTAGTTAGTAAGCCAAACCTAGTCAGGTGATCTTGGAACAAGGACCAAAAACACTGCTAACAGCAAAACTACCCAAATGATGACTAAAGACAGAATGGTCACAGAGGCTTTTTTATGGTTTGCCTGTTACTCACAATTAAGACTAATTATAATTAATTGTAATTTTTATTACAGATTTTTGGCAACTCTTCTGGTAAAAGTTATGTCAATTGTATTGTGTGAAAAATTCTTGCATCTGATAAAAGAAACTTTGCAAAATCAGTTAGTTAAATCTATGTAATTAAAAGAACAATGTGTGTCACTCAGTGCATGCATGATATGTTTCATGGAAACCCAGTATTCCTATTGGCTAATTGTACATTAACTTTAGAGACTATTACTTCAATAACAAACAACAGGCAAGGAAACAAATTAATTCCTTACCTTTCTGAGAATTATAAATATAACACCAATACAAATCCTAATGGACAACTAAAAATTGACAATTAGGCCTAAATTTTAAATATGTTTCGTACATGAGGTTTATCTCCTATATAATCTACAATAATTAGCCTTAATACTAATAGTCATTCCACGTCTTAAATCATTTTTGATGCTCTACAGCAAACAAATTTTGAAAAAAGTATTACAGGTTTCAAATAATATACAAACTCAATTTAAACACATAAACACACAAGACATTTACAAAAAACACATGATGACATTTGATTTTTTTACACTTCTTGATACCATGATTTAAAAAATTTACTATTTTATAACTATTATACATTTCCAACTGCCTTAATACAGAAACCTAAAAATTTACAATTAGGTCTAAAGTTTAAATACACTTTGTACACGAAAAATGAGCTTATCCACTAGGGGAATAAATATTACACCATATACGTTACTGATGGTAGTGGACCCAATGCTTTGTTAATATTTTAGGGAAAGAAAAAGATGAGAGATAGTGACAAACAAGGACAATTTTTACACTTTATGATACTAAAATTTTAAAAATTCACTGTTTTATTTAACATCACTTTATCAACAATTCAATCAAGAAAAAATCTCCGGATCTTATTCAAAGAAGGCAATTAGTTAGAAAGGCAAGGTGCTTACAAAAAAAAGTTTCTATTATAGTCTTTCCATTTATCTCTTTTATACTTCTTTACTTTAAATCTAAATCTGCCTGGTAGGTTTTTGTTTCATTCATGTCCAACTACATAATACAACAACATATACCCTTCTCATATATATCGTATTTCACTTAATAATGTTGCATGTGAAAAAACATTTTGGACTTTGGCTTATATGGCATAGTACATGCTTCGTATGTGGAAGGTTGAAGATTCAATCCTGTCTACATCTTCCTTTTTAATTTGTTTTGCTAAACAGTAGTCAAATAATTCTGATACATAGATCATACTTAAAGCACAAGTTTAGGCCATAGTATGACATTAAAAAATAAAGTCAATATGGACTACTTAATGAGAATTCTTCCCTCACTTATTTATCAAATGTTTTTGAGAACATTACTTATCTAGATGATGGGAAGAATGTGGACTTGATGTGCCATGATTTTCAAGAAGCTTTTGATAAAGAACAACAAAAGAAAATCACATACGTAGGGGTTGGGGAAAGACTAATTAATTGGAATGTAAGGGTTGGATAAGAAAAGCAAAAGGGTATTATTAATGAAGTCCTGTCAAACTGGACCCTTTTTACTAACACAGTGCCTCAGGAAACAGTTCTTGGACCTTTGCTTTTTCTTACTTACATTAATGCAGGGATCGAAATATTAAATTTCCGAGAAATTTAACATTGCTTAAGGAATTTCATCTTTTTAGTTGGTTTTCCTGATTGGGAATGCATGGTCCATCCATATTCCTTTAGGTAGGACCAATGAAAGTGAACATATTGCATGAATTAAATAAACAAAAACAATTCATGAGGAAATTCAACTTTTCATGAGGGAATGTAATCTTCCTAATAGCTTACCCTTGAGTGAATGTTATTTTATTTCATTATTTCTATCCATTATTGATATTTACAGGTACATGGTTAGTAAAGTTTGCTAATGACATTAAACTCTTTGTATTTCTATATGTATTGATGATGATGAGGTATTATAAAATGATTTGGATCAATTGGTAAATTGGACAAATATTAATAAATCACCTTTAATTATAATAGCTGCAAAGTAATGCATTTGGATCATCATAATTCCAATATGACATGGATAACAAGGAGTCATTTTGGTCCTTTACATCTGTCCTTTCAAGTCCATCCCTGAGAAAAATAGTGAAGCAATTGAATATTTTTGAGGAAATCTTACAATTGCTTCAGGATATTTGTTAACTGTTAAAAGAATAAAGTTATAACAGTTTTTTGAGTTTAAGTGGACATATACATGTAGAAAAGGGAGTAAATGGGATGCCTGTATTGCGAAATGAGACTGAGAACTAGGAAGTTCGGGTTAGCAAGGCCAGTGGTATAGTTATGTAAAGGCGTCGCCTAGCAACGAAGTGCACGAGCACCCGTAACAGATTGATGGATTACTGATGCTAACTCATTAGCACTAGGAAAGCTATGAAAAAATTGTAGTTAACAACCAAAAGCGGTACTTTGAGGTGATATCACTTACAAGACACGGGTGTAGTAGTACAAGTAGATAGGCAACCGGTTAACTCAACATAACAGTAACCAATAACTTGAGAGTTTTGGTTATGGTTTTGGGTTAGCCCAGGAATTTTCCTAAAGCAACCAATAGAGTGGCAGGACTACTTGCGGGTAGTGCTGGATACTATTTGGAAGGTTGAGAGAATACCAAAAAATTATGATTTATAAACTCCTGTCTGGAGCTGAAAAATCAGTTCCACCGCCAGTTCAGAATTCTCCTGAGAAGTTGTTGAAGCTCCTGACCATGGCTCTGAATGTTCCAAACAACTGCAAGTTTACCAGTCCAACTCTTTTGTAAGTATAATTTATGGTTTCTCTCTTAATCAATTAGTGTAACTAGTTTAAAGGAATATTAGGTTTAACTAAGAGAAGTATATCTATGTATAATACTGGAAAGCCTAGATTAATGGTACTTAGAAATGTATAATGATTAACGAACTTTTGCATGTTATTTAGAAATGAGTAATAACTGTTGTTATAATTGTTCAATGTTGGTCTAGGACTCTATGTCTTTATTCTAACTGTAAATCATCTAAAGTTAGTGACTTGTGAGCTCCACTTGTCATGACAAAATCCTCCAATAAATAACTTTGGTGTGACTGGCAGTTCTAATTGAAACTCCAACAATTAAGCACGCGAGGGCACTGCCTGTTACAACAGAAATAAAAACATAAACGTACCCTACACTTCTCTCTCCTAAACTCTTCTGCTGATTGCAACTCATTCCTTAAGCTAATTACCCTGTTAAGAATTACACTATCTGAATTGCAAAAAAGCCCATATTTTCCAAATCTGAAGCTTGTGTCTGCTTGTCTTCAGAATACAGCACAGATAGATTAAATCCTTACCTTATTGATCCCCCAAATATTAGTGTTGCATGAAAACAATTAAAACATTTTGCATTTTGTATCTTTTTTTCAATAGTGTGTTCAAAGAAAAAAGATCTTAGAAGAGTGGTAGGTAAGTCATTTGAGTTATCAAGACAATGCTCTGATGACAGTAGTAAAGCTAATAATTTTAGCGTATATTCATAGGCATTTTGATTACAAATAAAAACGAAATTCTCTCAATAGAAATCAAAAGTTAGCCTCACTTGAAATACTGCATACAATTTTGGTCTAACTTAAAAAATTTATTGGCTTAATGGAAAGGGTTCAGTTTAGAGTTACTAAGAAGATTTTGTGTATTGAAGGTTATCTTATAAGTTAAAATTTATTATTTTCTGATTTTATTGAAGTTAATAAGATCATAGAGGTAATCAATATGATAAAGACCTTAGATTTCTTTGTGTTGTATTATGAAGACAATAATATGAGAGGACATAATTTTAAGATTTAGAAAAAAAAGCTTTTAAGTTTCGAACAGTTTGACTGATTTAGTATGGAATGAGATACTACTGGCAGTAGTGAAGGCTGGAACTTTATGAGTTTAAGTAGATGATCAATGATTTCCTTATAAAATAAAAGGTAAATTTAATTTTTTATGTTTCTTTGATGTAGGAGTGTAAACTGGTTAACATTATGTGCAAAAGAATGGGAGGCATTACTAAAGTTCTTCAAATATCCAATCACTTTAGTAGGCTTGCACCCATGGCCCTAAAAGTCCATAGCATGTAAAATTTTCAAGATATAACAATACTGTATGAGAAGAAAGTTGACAATGCCAGAGAATGTAGCTCACAAATAGCCAGTTCTCATATAAAATTTGGTATTATGAGTAAAACATTTTTCTTCTATGAAATACTATTTCTATGTCATTAATATTTCTTGTTGGAATTTCATTTTGGAAAACACTGCAATAAGTTGCATATTTCAGCACTAAAATGTGTGAGCTGTGGATTGCTAGGATTAACCTAAATTTGTCTTAATGATCATATATTAGTTTTTATCTGTTGTCACTAACTGCGGGGATGAAAATGTCAGATACAAAATATAAAACTTGTAAAAACACTCCTTCTGTATACAGTACTTGGACAAAAGACTTATGTTACTTCCTCTATCAGTATTTTTTTTATACTTGCCAATTTTTTTTATCTACTTTTAAAATCTATTAAATGTAGAATTGGTCACTACATATTATATATCATTTTCTTGGTGCTAAGTGACCATACAAACATTATTAACGTTTTCGATGATGAGGAACCCACTTTGGGACTAATACTGCTTGGAGATGGCTTGAATGGGTAATGAAGAAAAAACTTTAATATAAATTTAACATAACAGCAAATATACAACATTTCAACAAGGTTTTGTCATCATCAGGTACAAGTAGTTTACACTGATACAGATATATATATATATATATATATATATAC